TTGAAAAATTATCCGATGTTGAATCTAGATTAAAATCTTTGACACAACGAGAACGAGATATTCAAGAATCCTTTAATTCACGATAATTTGCCTAATAACAAAAACGCTTAGATATATCTTCCTGTATATTTTAGTTTATAAATATTTACTTACAGATTTTTCGTCCGCATTTGAAACTTTAGAAGAAAGATTGCTCATTTTTGCTTCAATATCTAACATTCCTTGTTTCAATGATTGATTTTCTTCTTGAATTGACTTTATAGAATTGTTCTTTTCCTCTAATTGTGTTTCAAGCCGCTTTGCCGCTTGGTCTTTTGCAGTTAGTTGATTGGTCATATCTTGTATTTGAGATTCAATTGTTCGCTTGACCTCTATTAAATCCAACTCTGCTTTATCTTTCCCCTGCCTATAAGTTTCGACTTGTTTCCTTAAAGAATCAAATTTTTCCATTGCTCCTTTATCCAACTCCTCAACCTTAATGCTTAATGCTTCATTTTCACGACTCTTATCCTTATAAAGTCGTTTTAATGACGTTAATTCCTCTTCCAAGGTTAGTGATCTCTCCTCAATTTCTTTTAATTGATGAGTAAGTTCAGCGGAACGATGTTTTAAATTTTCCAGCAAAGACTGTGAAGATTCAAATTCTGCTTGTTTTACTTGTAATTGATCAAATAATTTTTCCTTTTCTGTCGTTAATTTTTCGTTAAGAGTTTCAAGTTGCGTAATTTGTGTTGATTTTGTGGTTAACTCCTTATTAAAACGCGTAATTTCTTGTTTTATATTGGAATTAGAATTTTGTTCTGCAATTCGAGCAGCATCTATAAGACGTTCAACTTCATCGCTTAAATCTTTTTTCTCTTTTTCTAAAATGAGTATTTTTTGTTGGGTCTTTTTGAGTAAACCAAGAGATTTATTACGTTTATCTTCTTCTTCTAGTTGTTGCTTTTTCAAATTTTCAAGCTCATTATCACGTTTTTGAATCGTCGATTTCGCTTCATTAAAGGATTCTTGAATATCTCGTTCTCGTTGTGTCAAAGATTTTAATCTAGATTCAACATCGGATAATTTTTCAA